AGGACTTATACTTCTAGATTTCAAAACTGACTACAAAGCTATAGTAATCAAGAGTATAATACTGTCATAAAGACAGACATACAGACCAATGGAATAGAACAAAGATTCCAGAAATAAACCCTCACATATGTAGTCAAATGATTATTGACAAGGATAACAAGACCAATTAATGAGGGAACAGACAGTCTTTTCAACAAACAGTGTTGAGAAAATTGGATGGCCACACGCCAAAGAATGAAGCTGGACCCTTACTTAACACCATATACAAAAATAAACTCACATAAACTCAAAATGTATCCAAGACCTAAGTATGAGAGCTAAAACTATAAAACTCAATAGGAAACACAGGGAAAAATTTTCACATTTGATTTGGCAATGACACCAAAGGCACAGGCAATAGAAGAAAAAATAGACAATTTGGACTTCATTAAAATTTTAAAATTTTGTACATCAAAACATATTATCAACAGAGTAAAAAGGCAAGACACAGAATTAGGAAAAATATTTGCAAATAATATATCTGATAGGGGATTAACATCAAGATATATAGAGAACTCCTAAAACTCAACAATGGCAACAAAACAACCAACCAGACTCAAAAGTGAGCAAAGGATTTAAATAGGCATTTCTCCAAAGAAGATATACAAATGACCAACAAGCACATAAAAAGATGCTCAACATTACTAATTATTAGCACAAGGGAAATCAAGTCTACATCATCATACTCATTACAATGGCCACTAAAAAAACAAAAAGAAAAACAGAAAACAACAAGTGTTAGTGAGTATATGAGGAACTTGGAACCCTTGTATACTGTTGGTGGGAATGGAAAATGGTAGAGGTTCTAAGGAAAACAGTACGCCAGATCCTCAAAAAATTAAAAATGTACCCTTTAATTTACAAAGAATTACCATATAATCCAGTAATTCCACATCCAGGGGTGTGTGTGTGTGTGTGTGTGTGTGTGTGTGTGCATGTGTGTATATATCAGCTATACCCACCAGCATTCCCACCAACAGTATACAAGGGTTCCAAGTTCCCCACATACTAACACTTGTTGTTTTCTGTTGTGTGTGTGTGTGTTTTTAGTGGCCATTGTAATGGGTATGATGTGATATCTCACTGTAGATTTGATTTGTCTTTCCCTAATAATTAGTGATGCTGATCATCTTTCCATGTGCTCGCTGGTCATTTGTATATCTTCTTTGGAGAACTGCCTATTCAAGTCCTTTTCCCACTTTTCATGTATATACACTCAAAAGAATTGAAAGCAAGGTCTCTAAGAGATTATTTGTATGCTTACGTTCATAGCATCATTATTCACAAAAGCTAAATTGCTGTAAGCAACCCAGGTGTCCACTGATGGATGAATGGATAAAGAAATGTGGCATACACATAAAATGAAATATTATTCTGTCTAAAAAAGCAAAGAAATTCTGACATACTACAACACTGATGAACCTTGAGGACATCACGCTATGTAAAATAAGCCAGTCACAAAAGGACAAATACTGTATGATTCCACTTATAAATGAGGTATTTAGAATAGTCAAAATCATAAAGACAGGAAGTGGGATGTTGGCTGCCATAGACTGAGGGGAGGGAGGAATGGGGAGTTATTGCTTAATGGGTATAGTTTCAGTTTTGCAACATGAAAAGGGTTCTGGAGGTAGATAGTGGTGATGGTTGCACACTATAAATATACAAATGTGCTTAACAACTACTGAATTGTACACTTAAAATGGCTAAGACAGGAAATTTTATGCTGTGCATTTTACCACAATAAAAATGGAAAAAATAAATAGAAATAGCTTGTTTTTTTAAAACCTATACTTTTACAAAACAAGAGAAAAAACTTTCAGACACAAAATTAAGAATGAGAAAAATAGAAAAACATCAATGGAAAATTCAAAGGATTATGAGAATAAATAATAAATTCCTATGCAAATAAATTCAAAAATCTGTATGAATGGCTTTTTTAAGCAAAACAAATGATCAAGAGTGAACTAAGAAAAGGAAAAGGAAGAGAGAGAATGTTGTGAGAGGGAAAAATAAAGTATCTCAAAAAAGTGCCAAGCCTAGGCAATTTTACTAGTGAGTTCCTTCAGAGCTTCAGGGAACACATAAAGCTGATATTTTAAAAATCTTTCCAGGGCGCCAAAGCCAATAGGAGTTAGTAGCTTGACCCCCACCACATCCGTATGGGATTGTTAGGAACATGGGTTGATAAATCCCCAGCAGGATTAAATGCATGATTTGCAAAGTCAGCAAGTTTCAGTCATCTTGACAGCCACAGGGTGGTACTTGAAGCAACTAAAACAGCAAGTGAGGGCAGAAGTTCTGCAGGACTGTTGGGGGTCTGTTATGATTCTATTTGAGCAAAATATCACCTTCTCATTACATTCATATTTGAAATAGACACTTATTGGTTGTAAAGCTTTGTATTTTAATTTGTAAATGTTTTGGTTTTCCTCTAAAAAGTATAAGCAGTTTATACTTTATTATGTTTGTATGTATTTAAATAACAGTAAAGTAGAAAAAAGTCCATGCTGACATTTATGACATTTTTTTTTTCCTTTAAAGGGAAGTTTAAGAAACTCTGCTCTAGGTTTCAGAGAAAAAAATATTACACTTTATTGAGCTTGGCTTTCTCTGCCGCTTCTCCCCACAGGAAAGGCAGACGTTCATGGGAAAAATCAGGAAATCAGGTAAAGGAAAAAGGAGCCAAGGAGGATATGGCCTATTTAATCAAGCCTATTGGGTCTACACAGAAAAGCAAAAAGATTCTCTGCAGATCTACCAAGTCTAGTCCAGCTTACAACTGACAAGGCTTCCACATGAGACTTCAGAGGCAAAAAACGCCTCAGAGTTATAGAGTAATTCTGTCAAGTTATCTCCCCTCTATGTGGATCTTGAAAACTTACGGCAGCAAGATGCAGCTGGACAAGGATTTGAGATCTTGAGTCTAAGCCATCTTTCTCTCTATAACCAACAGCCATGTTGCTGCTTTCCCTCAGGATTAGGCACATTCCTGGACAGTTCCGTCCTAGGACCAATGACAGAGTTAGACCAGGTCATTCACCGCAGGCCACACTTGTGGCACAACCAAAGGCTATGCAGAAACTATCAAGGGAACAGATTCAGTGCATTATGTGTAGGTCATAACTGTGCAGAAGAGAATCTAAAAATAGAAAGGAACTTTAGAAATCAGTCCAACTTCCACACTAATGAAAGAATATCTTCTAAAACATCCTGATGACATAATCTCTTCCTAAAAACTTCAGTGATAATTTATTACTATTCTCTACTACTCTTCAGGAAGGTTCCTTTAACTGTTGAAAAGTAACCTATTTTGGGAAAGTCCTCATTATAAGAATAATCACTACCGTATAAATCTTACTGTAGTTTGGTTCTCCAGAGCAGAAAAAAAGTCTGCTTCTTTTTTCACATGACAATTGCTCCTCTCCAGGCTACACTATACTGATTTCAGGAGCATGTAGGATATGGTTTCTAGACCTCGGACCTTCTTAAAACAGTGGTGCCCACAAGACCTCCAGTGGATACACATCAGAACTTCGCATCTTAAAAAAAATTACTTTTATTTCAGATTGAGGGGGTACATGTACAGGTTTGTTACATTGCGTATATATGGTATATTGCATAATGGTGAAGTTTGGGCTTCTAGTGGACCCATCACCCCAACAGTGAACATTGTACCCAATACGTATTTTGTCAACCCTCATGCCCTTCCCATCTCATACGGTTAGGCTTTGTGTCCCCACCAAAATCTCATCTTGAATTGTAATCTCCATAATCCCCAGGTGTTGAGGAAGGAACCAGATGGAGGTAATTGAATCATGGGCACAGTTTCCCCCATGCTGTTCTCATGATAGTAAGTTCTCATGAGATCTGATGGTTTTATAAGCATCTGGCATTTCCCCTGTTGGCACTCACTCTCTCCTGCTGCCTTGTGAAGAAGGTGCCTGCTTCTGTTTCGCCTTTGGCCATGCTTATGAGTTTCCTGAGGCCTCCTCCCCAGCCATGCAGAACTGTGAGTTATTTAAATCTCTTTTCTCTATAAATTACCCAGTCTCGGGTATTTCTTTATAGCAGCGTGAGAATGGACTAATGCACCACCCTTCTCACTTTGGAGTCCTGTGTCCATGTGTACCCACTGTTTAGCTCCCACTTATAAGTGAGAACATGTGGTATTCGATTTTCTTTTCTGAATTATTTCAGTTAGGATAATGGCTTCCAGCTGCATCCATGTTGTTGTAAAGCACATGGTTTCACTATTTTTTATGGCTGCAGAGTATTCCATGGTGTATATGTACCACATTTTCTTATTCCAGGCACCACTGATGGATACTTAGGTTGAGTCCACGATTTTGTTACTGTGAATACTGCTGTGATAAACATACCAGTGGGATGTCTTTTTGATAAAACGATTTATTTTCCTTTGGGTAGATACCCAATACAGGGATTGCTGGGTCGAATAGAACTTAACATTTTTAGTTCCAGCACATGATCTTGTGCTCTCACTCTTTCTCTCCCTCTCTCAATAAGTGGCAAGTTAACATAAGTAAACTTAATTTTGTGCAAAAAATGCTTTCCAAAGAGAAAGGAGGAACAAAAATAATTGTAAATATTTTCAATCTCCATGCACTACTGAAATCTGCTACTTATGTATTCTGCATGTGATACCTTTGTAAAAATAATTTTGTAATTTTTGTTTTATAAGATAAAAATGTTTTGTATGCCACATTTCCTAAAAAAAAGGTCCTGCTGTACCTCATTTCCCTTACCTTTAAAATAAATTGCCATAATAGATATAATCTTCCTATTTCACATAACTGATAAAAATGCCTTTGTTATTCTTAGAAGTTAAGATCTACTTAAAGAAAGTTTTAAAAGTTGTATGGGTTTTTGTCTCACTCTATTTTTTAAGATTAAAAGTACTCCACATCACACCCTATATGACAGAGTGGCAACACAAGACATAGGTTTAACAACTATTTTAATTACAAATTTCCACCAATTCTTGCCAGTCATATTATTGTGGATATCACAAATGAATTTATAACAGTATTACCTCATATTCATCTGCATGAAACTTAGGAGAAAGGAGAGAAGAAATGTATAAGTTTCTGAGAATGACACCATAAAGCTCATATTTACAGTATGGTAGTCTGTAAACATACAGGCCTGCCAGTTAAAGCCCACTCTTCTATCATTACCCGGCTGCATGACCCTGAGCAAGTCACTTTTGTTTGCTCATTTTTAAAATAATCTATCACCTGACTTCTCTATCTACGAGAGTTAACTGGCTGCATGCAAAATACCATGAAAAATACCATGCACTTTTAAGTGTGAAGTAGCACTGTAAAGTGACTTATATATTACTGGTCTTTCTATTTTTAGAGTAATAATATTCATACATCAGTAAAAGTCAACATGTGTTTGCTAAGTGATCCTTTTGAAAGGATCCCTTTAAAAGCTCCTAGGCATCAGCTTTACTGACAAGCTGGTATGATTCTGAAGCCAGCGTCTCAACTCTTGGAAAGATATGCAATAGTCACAGCTTGAATTAGTAACCAATAAAATAAAATGCCCTCTTATTCTCCAAAATATAATAATTCAAGAGTAATGACGTCAAGATTTTTCTCCTCAAACTGAGGCAAAAAATGCCCCACTATGGCTTGTTTAAATGACTTAAAATACAAGTGGTAACTATGGTGACTAGGGAACCAATGTTTAAAACATCAAAAGATTATTACAAAAATCAAATTTCCCATGAATTTCTAAAAATTAAAATTCTGAGATTTTGTGTCTGAGAAACCGCTTCTTCAGCAAAATATTTAGCACATACTACATCATCCCAAATCTATGGTATGGCCAGGTATTAGGTCCTTCAACCAATATTTTTAGAAAGGGTCCCATTGCTCTTTACTCGCAAAATGACTATCTCTAGGGCCCCAAAATTCAAGAGACAACCTAGATAATCAAAACGTTAAAAAAGGGAAGACGTTGGCATGTAAACTAGAACTAAATAATTGTGAATATCTGGCAAATTGATCGCTATGTGTATATATGAGCTATAGCTAACATGATTATTACAAGTTTTTTGGAAACTTGAAGGCCAAGGAAAATAATCTGCAAATATATCTTGCTGATTTATCAAGTACTGAGATGTTACTGAATTCTTCATATTGTTACTCCTGTATCAGTTCTTTAGAATTTCATAGCCTTTGGGTACTCTAAGCCTTGGATGGAACCATTTAGGGAGTAGCTAGATATATGCAAAGAATATTAGGATTTAGAAACATTTCTGGTTTATCAAAGTGAAAAGATAAATATTACAAATACTGAAAATGTGAAAATAAGGTTCAAAAGAGCTGCCAACTATGTGGGTACCAGTTAGAAAGTATCTTCATCTGACTCATCACTCTTGGGTTTGGTAAGTCTTTCTAGTTCTTCTCCATCCTAAAAGGAAACATGAAATCAGTAATTAGAACAAAACTGGAAAGGTAGCATTTTTAAAGATTACTAAGGGGAAACCTTGCTAACAAGTCATTGGGTCTTACCTTATTAAGCTACAGATACAACCTGGTCAAATTAAATAAAAACGTTCTTGGAAAGTTAACTATATGAGAGGATAAAAAAGTGAAGGGCACTCAGTACTCAAAATTTCAAAGCTAACATGAGCAAAGTGAGGAGCACCACCTGCTGGTCTTGCAGAAAAATGATTAAAGGTTAGAGAAATAGGCCTTCATAGGCCTTGTTATCTATATATATTTTCTTTTACTTAAAAATTAGAGCAAATGGCATTATCAGTTGTTGGAAAAGAATACAGGACTTCTGGATATATACCCTGGCTAAGAGCAGGGTATTTGAAACTTAAGATCCTAATTTTTTCATCTTTAGAATCTGTTGAATCACGACAGAGGCATTACACCCAGGGAAGCTCTGCCATGAATGTTATTAAGCAATAGATTATTTTTCCCAAAGAGTGAAATGTTCATTGTATAAAATATTTCATATTTTGTGTGTTCAAGAAAATTGTAAATCTAAAGCTAGATGTCTACTTCACTTATTTAAACATATATTTAACTCCTTAATTGAATCTTCAAAGAGATCATCAATTTGCCAATAAAATGATTGACAGAGCCTTCCAAAACAATTGCAAGCAACTGGGAGATATTCGGAATAATTGCATAAGCATTTTTCTAGAAAATATTTTCCTCCTACTTGCCTTGCAAGGATCCTTTTGAAAACTACCTTGCTAGTGAAATAAACAAACCCTGCCCTTCTGGCATACTGGCTTATGAATAACTACAGGGAGGATTGAGGAGCCAGGTTTTCTATTCAACAAGACTTACTAATATGAAAGACCAACTTCTCTCACAAATGAGCTTATTTTCCTAACTATGGTGGAAAAGAAAGAGCAAGGGACTTGGAGTCAGACATAGGTATACCAGTTCTTTCATTTATTATCTGTAAACCATTTTGCCTGTTTCTTCACTTGTAAAACTATGGAGACAAGACAAGACAACCTGTGAGGTACCTTCCAGGTGTATAATTCTATAGTATTCAATGAAATAACACATAAGGTCCTTGAGATTGACTTATACTTTTTCTCTACACCTGACAGCATTGATCATGAGCCCTTGCAAACATCAGGAGTCCAATGAATGTTTGTTGATTCAGTTTTAAAAGTCAGAGATCCAATACATTCTTTGATAAATCAGTACTGATTTTATTTTTTTCCTTGAATTAACTATGCTTTAAATTTGAGAAGAACAAGCAAAAAGGAGCACCCTCACAAACTTACCCCACTGGAACGCTCCCAAAGATTGCCACTTAGATCTCGGATCCTTTCTTGCCTAGGTGCGTATTCTGGACCTTGAGGCTTGCTGGCATTATAAATAAATATAGAGAGAAGGACAGATGGGGTTTCCAAGAGAAATTCCAGGGAGGGCCTGAAGTCAAAGATCAGGACAGACACTGTTGTGATAATGACAGTGGTAACCTGGGCCATCAAGACATGGAACATGTTATCCAGGAACTTCAGAATGAAAGCCACTGAAAGGCCCTGGAATGCAGTTACAAAAATAAGGGCTACTGAAAACGCATTGTGGCCATAAAAAAATCCACAGTTCTTAATCTGATCACGGTTACTCCTCTGAAGGCCCAGAGTCAGCCCATTAAACAGAATGCCAAAGAAATAGAGTTTGCTGTTCTGTATGAAGATGCTTTCAGAGAGCTGGTTCCCTTCCTTCAATATCTTTTCATTATAAATACTAGCCATTGAAGAAATAAAACACTGGACTATAATAAGAACATGGCCCATGCCAAGACGGATGTGACTGAAAACTCTGGCTGTGGTGTTCCATTTAGCTTCAGGAAAAGTCCATTCCTTTGTTGTACAATTGTCTTTTCTGGGACACTCACTTCTGAAAAGAAGGCAGGAATTGGATGGGCTGAAGAAGGCATCGTGATGAAATCCACGTCCTGCCAAGTTGTGCTGTAAAGTTTTAGTCCCGGCAGTCAAGGCCACAATAGACAAAAATAAAATCAGGAGGGAAGCCCACTGGATCCAGTTTAGATGCCTCCTGTTCAAAGATGAAAAACAAGATTTTACTACTGTTTTCCCCCCATATCAACAGTTTCTACTGAAAACTCAGACACTTGAGTATTTGGTTGAATAAACTGGTCCCAGTTTTTGTTAGCATTTCCTACTATTCAAGTTCAGAGAAAACCTGTTGGTGCCTTTCTCTCCAATTTAATGTTTGAATTCATTTTTACAACACCTATCCCTTAAGGTTGCTCAAGTCATTTCCCCTCTGTGTAGGTCTTTTTAACCTACAAGTTTAACATGGCCTTCTTTCTACCTCTAGAGCTGATCTTGGACCTCTGGCACAATAACTTTTATCACACTATAAAGTTACAGCAGAGATTCTCAACCTGGTTTCCCAGAACCAGAAAGAATGTAGATGAGCTTCAGAAATCTTGTGCGTAGATGAATTTCTCCCTATGCAGGAGATCCTGCAAAGTTTTGTCAAATCTTTAAAGGTGTCCATAACCCAGAAAAGATTTAAAGAAGAAGGTTAGCTCTAGATTCATGGCCTAATCATAGAGCATTAAACAGCAAACTGATGGCTGACAAGGCAAAGAAAAATGTTATTTTGGGCAGTATTTCAGTTTATATAGTCCTAACAATCTTTTATTTATTTTCCTTAGCAACAAACTTGTGATATATAAAGGATATGTACTATTGTTATTCCATTTTGCTGATTCATTCTATTCAACGGATGTTTAATAAGCAGCTACTACGTGCCAGGCAAGCTGGGGAGATAAAGATGATTTATCTCCATGTTCAAGGAATTTATGCTTTAATAGTGAGAAAACAATGAAACTAAATGATCTCAGTATGTGTGAAAAGTGATTAATGGGACAACTGGAGTATACTGAGGAACACTAGAATCTGTAAATAGTCAGGTATTGCTTCAAAGAGGAAATGACACTTGAGCTAAAAGATGAAAAACAAATTGAAGTTTACCATGTGAAAAAGGAGTTGGTGATATATCCAGGCAGAGGGAAGAGTCTGTGCAAAGGCAACAAGAACGTACAATGTTGACAAAGAAAAGAGGAATATCTCATTCTCATTGGCGTTGTCAGGAGGCCTCTTGGGGGAACAAAATCTTGATGTTTGAAGATCAGTTAGTTAGGCAAAGAAGGGGAACACCAAGAAAAAAAGAGGAACATAAAAAATGCAGAAGTGTAAAGCAATAGGTGGGAACCAGAAGTTATGAGAATTTGTATAACATTGGAGCATTTATTGAGCACCTACCATGCACTTAGGCATTCCTGCTCTAAGGGAGGAAACAGTTAACCTAACAGATTTCCCTAAGGTCATGTACTTAAAGACTAAGGAAGGAATCGGATCCATGGTTTTATATGTCTTCCTTCTGCATCATCATACCTCCTAAGTATAATTCTAAGTTTCCAGGATGCACATATAGGAAGTTGTATGCATATAAAGCTTCATGCTCTGAAACTGCTAAATGCACAGACTAGCCTAGATAGCAGCACACCTGTGCACACTATTATATGCTTTCTCATACATAAGTAATTTTCAAATAGCCAGATCTAGAGCTTACTGATGGGGTTAGCGCAGTCTTATGTCATCAGGTGAGAAACTGTGAACTAATCACTTAAATTTCTGAAGGTGCAGCTGGTACACATTCAGTAGCAGAAAACAAATAGAATGACCACAGAGATAAAAAAATGGGTGTCCATTTTACAAAAAAATTCTAAAATTAATTATTGCAAATCACATACAAGTGAGGCAATGATGTAATCTACAGTTCCTTTAAAAGTTTTCTAGCAGCTACACACTTGTCACTAATATTGATATTAAGAAAAAAGAAATCCTTAAACTAAACAACACCTTCTGTAAACAATTACTCATTCAAGGTAATGCTCTAAGGAATGTAAAATTTATTAAGGATTAAGCTAAAAATTAAAAATGGTAGATTTTTAGGAAAGAAAATAAAGCTTAACAAATTACCCTGTAAAGTCAGCTGACAATCTGAAATGACAACTGAGTCTGCATGACTGAATTCGTTCTTCAGTTTAACTGATACAAAACAGTGTAAGCTCACTCCACTCATCTCTCCACTGCCTCTGTAAAACATAGTAATGAATGCTCAGAGCTGAACGCCTGTGGCTAGGAGGCTACTCTTTTTGAGGGCCTCTGCTCCCAAGTGAATTGTTTGCTCACAGAATCTCTGTTCCTAAACATGTTTTTGCCAGGTGACCTCACTGTTGTCCCTACATAGAGATTACACAAATGATAAACGATGAGTAAAAGACAAGAAGCTGTTTATATGAAAACTAAGTTGAACACTTTGGGAAGATTAAGGGAAAGTAAATCATTCAGAAGCTAAAAAGCTGTTTTCTAATAACATACAGGTGAGCTAAGGAACTTCAATAAGTAACATACTCAAAGGAGGCGCTTTAGCTCAGCATTAGAAGAATGATGAATATATGTATACTGACATACTCTAAGTTAAAATAAATTGTTTATTTTCTATATATACTTACGTATATGATTCACAACTGTAAGTTTTCCTAGCAACTAAGCAATAGGTTCAAATTGTGTCAGATAAAAGCACTTCTATATTTGGTAAACTAATGCAGGGTATGAAGACAATTAAATGGAAAGACTCACAAAATTGTTTTCTCCAGAAACTGTACAAAACACATTTCTTAGTAGCACAGAGAGAGTGACAAGGGGCAGATTTATAATGAGAAATCAAAGAGAAAATTTATCAAGTGAATGAATGATTCCGGAGAAATGCTTGTACTACCACTGAGTGGCACTTTTCTCTGTTCTTTGTACAGCAACTAAACTTTTCCTTTACTTCCTACACATCCACCATGTTTGAAAATGTATTTTTAAATAATTTTTTTCCATACCCTCTCTTTGAGGAAATCAGAGAAACTTATATACATTTTTTAGGTAAAAGTAAGTGCTGGTCTTGGTTATCTTTTGCCTCCAATCTCAATGTTTAGGTTGGTATCATTTCCCAAAGCTAAAGCAAACAAGATTATACAACTTTGCTTAGGTTACAATCAAACCAGGGAAGCAGGCTACAAGGCATAATGCCTGCTACCAGTTTCTACCATGAACCAGTGGCTCATACTTCAAAGAACAAATCCATACATTCACATTAAGTTTGAATCCTTGGAAAATAACATGCTAATAATCTAATATTGTCTTTTATGAGAATGCCTTTAGGTATTTTATTCTTTTTAGAAAAGACAATAGGACATTTAGATAATATTTTTCTTTTTCCCACTTTCAAATTCCTCCAAGTAATCCTTGCAGTAGTTACCAGACTTACTTTTGCCTGCTTTTGTAGCTTTATATTCTTTTTAAGAATTTTTTAAATTATTTTTTTGTTTTTTTCTTTAAAAATTTTTTTTTAAATTATTTTATTTTATTTTGTAGTCTTGTATTCTTTACCTGTATGGGAAAGGTATTTGACAGGTCTGCTACAATCAAGTATGACAACAGATTTAATATTATAAATGAAAAGCGGCAAACAAAGAATATGTGATAGAACTATTAAGCTGCTACTCCTAGGTCAAAACTTAATCACAAAGGGCAAAAAGACCATCAAATGATTCACAAAGAGTAAATTAAATAGGGAAAACCAATGCAAACCACCAACTCCAAAAAGATCAAAATAGAACAAAGTTAAGTTGACTTCAAAATGTAATAAAAGCATATACATCAATGAGATATTTTTCAGCTTTAAAACACAGAAAGAAATCCTGTCACATGCTACATGGATGAACCATGAAGACAATATGCTAAGCTAAGTGAAATAAGCCAGTCACAAAAAGACAAATACTGTATGATTCTATTCATATGAGGAATCTAAAGTAGTCAAATTCATAGAAACAGAGAGTGAAATGGTAGTTATTAGGGGTTAGGGTGAGGCAGGGAAAGGAGAGTTGTTTAATGGACTTAGAGTTTCAAATTTGTAAGGTGAAAAAGTTCAACATCTACTTCACAACAACATGAATATACTTAACACTACTAAACTGTACGCTTAAAAATTGTTAAGATGGGCCAGATGTGGTGGCTCATGCCTGTAATCCCAACACTTCCGGAGGCTGAGGCAGGTGGATCACAAGGTCAGAAGATTGAGACCATCTTGGCCAACATGGTGAAACCCCGTCTCTACTATAATACAAAAAATTAGCTGTGCGTGGTAGCATGTGCCTGTAATACCAGCTACCTGGGAGACTGAGGCAGGGGAATCACTTGAACTCGGGTGGTGGAGGTTGCAGTGAGCTGATACTGCGCCACTGTGCTCCAGCCTGGCAACAGAGCAAGATTCTGTGCCCACCCCCCCAAAAAAATTAAGATGGCAAAAATTTTTTTTTCTTTTTATACCACAATTGGAAAAAAGAGTTAAAAAATGTAATAAGGCCAGGCGTAGTGGCTCGCACCTGTAATCCCAGCACTTTGGGAGGCCAAGGTGGGTGGATCACCTGAGGTTAGGAGTTTGAGACCAGCCTGGCCAAAATGGTGAAACTCTGTCTCTACTAAAAATACAAAAATTAGCTGGCCGTGGTGGTGTGCGCCTGTAGTCGCAGCTGCTTGGGAGGCTGAGGCACAAGAATTGCTTGAACACGGGAAGAGGAGGTTGCAATGAGCCAAGATGGTGGCACTGCATTCCAGCCTGGGTGACAGAGTGAGACTCTGTCTCAAAAAATTAAAAAAAGTAATAAAACACTTAAAAGACATTCTCATAAAAGACAACATTAGATTATTAGCTTGTTGCTTTCCAAGGATTCAAAACAGAGAGATGTCAACAACAAAGCAAATATATGTCTAAGAATCAATATTATTCCTCTGAAAATAAGAAAGTATGTAGAAACGTTTTTGAATTTTAACTCATACCAGTTAGTTATTATTAAAATTAGCAAAATGTAATCAATATTATAATTAGTATTAAAAGCAAATATTTAAAATTTAATTTAGATTTAAACTTAGAATGAACTTTCTTAAAACAAATAGTTAAATGCTTAAAAAGTTAACAAGGAATACTTACTATAGGATAGAACTAGAGCTACTGGCCAATTTCAAGTCAGGCAATACATACTTTTAGTCTTTAGTAAATTCAGTTTTAAACTGATGTAATTTTGATATAATATTTTTATATTATACAACTTCAGTATAATACCATCTGTACTCATTAAAAGTAAACGACAAACACTTTGAAAACACATGTTTTTGAGACCTGTACTCCCTTATTAAATAGTGATCCTTTTATCATCTTGGAATACAGAAATGGTCTTGGAACCATTCTATTTATCTTCACAGAAGTGCATCTCTCATCTATCACAGGAATCAATATACAAATATTATTGCTTGTATACATTTTCTCAAAAGTCAACTTTTTATACTACAAAGTGAGATTCAAATTGATTTCAAAGACTTCAAAATGTTTTTGGAATATCATTTTTAACTTGCTAAAGAATTATTTTCACAATTCACAAATAAACTGAAAAACAGATATGTAGAACAAACTTCGATGAACGCTAACATTTAAACTGGGCTAAATGTAATGTTCATTTTTTCCTTATCTCTCACATTAGCTATCAAATTAAATGCTTCCTCAAGGTAAAAGAAAATTTATCAGGAATCTTATATAATTTATATAATAAATATATCACGGACTCAACAAATTAAATCTTTGTACCAAGCCAGTCACCCTTTCATATACTCAAATTATGAAAGAACATACTATCAGCATACTGAGAATCAATAAATCAAAAAGATAATGTAAAATTACCAAAAACGCAACAAATTTAATAAGAAATTAATTTTATTTAATCATTATCATTAAGTAAGAAATTAAACTGAAGTATGCAGATCCTGTATCATCCTCCTGCCTTAGGACACTCTGCCTTTTGCTTTGAAGAGCGCTCAATTTACTTAAAAATGTACCATTCAACGGTCTTCTTGGAGATAGTAAAAATTGGTGATAACATTTTTAAAAGTTTAAAAATCTATCCTTCTTAATGGTAATTTTGACTAGATTTTTCACACAAACCCTGTGCTAATTAGTGCATAAATCACGTCCTCATCTCAAATAGTTTAATAAAAAACTGGCCATTATCTATCATCTCCAAACTCCAAATTACAAATATATTAACAATCTTAGGAATCATTTGCTTCCCTATTAGTGCAGAAAGATTTTGCACAAAAAGCTCATTAATTCTTTGTTGAAAATCTGGCACTAAATATGAAAACGCTAATTATAACACAGTTAATTATCTTATTTTTAAGATGCTCAAGACATTTTCATTCATCTGATCACAGAGGATTTAGATGAACTAGCACTGGAGTTGCTTTCTACATGGCTTAAACATGCCCAATACACAAAGCCAATTAGGAACAAAATTCTGGCTTCGGGATTCTGAGGGCTCAGTGTTCTGGGTGTATCATTTGAAATTGGGCTGTGTTATTTTAAAGTATGATATATGTTTTCACAGCAAGTTACTTACTTCAGCACTATCCTGAATAGAAGAGCTGTTGTTATAATGCTAAAATTTGAGAAGATAACAGCCATGGCCTAGAAAGAAAGAGAAGATAGAGTTACAATCCAAACAAAGTACTGACCTCAGAAATGTCCTAGCTTGGCAGTTCACCTGACAACAAAAGCTTTTTGGTCAAAAAACAGAGGGGTTATTAAGGTAGCAATTTCACCTGAGGATTAAATTCCAGTTTTGTCGCTTGTCAAATTTATGTAGATGTGATCAAATTATTGTCCAGGCATTGCTTGTGAAAATAATCTTTATATACAGATCTGAAATTACTTGTAAATTCCAAAGGTTTAGGTCTAGAAATGACAGTTACTATGCTTATGAAGCCTACTTTTCAAAGTTCTCAAAGTGCCTTATGGATTTTTAACACTGTTTCTATGGTCACATAGAAGGCAGGTACTGTTTGGCCCATTAATATAGTAAGAAAATTGAAGTATAGATTTTTTTAAGCATCTTTACCATTCTAAGAATTGTTATGTATCGATTTTCCTGGTTGAACTGCAGTAACTCAATACCAAACTCATACTTGACAGTCCTGGGCACTGATTCAAGTTGTTCTAAACACTTAGAAATGTATCAGCCAGATTTTAAAACCATTTGTTTTTACGAATTCAGTCCTATTTCACACATGAGAGTATTAATCTGAACATGTATACACTATGCTCAGAAAGCATGAAATTCCATCATTGCTGCCCATAATCAGATGTGACAACAGTAATAATTTTTTAATGCAAATCTTAGGATGTACTTCACCCTGCCTTCCTGCTTGCTATCACTTTAAGGTGATTAAACCCCAAAAGATATTAATAGTCATATATACCCACTAATTAAAATAAACATGGCTCATATGCAGCTAAATTAAACATAAGAGTAAACTCAATTAAAAATGGCAACAACTCCAAGAATATAACATTGTTGTTTTTCTACTGAATTCTTATGGGAACCACCATTTTAAGGTTTTCTCAGTGTACTTCTCTGTAGAAAAATGCCTGTGAACCCATAGTTAGGAGATGAGTAAGAGGAGAAGAGGAAAGTGGCTGCGAAGTGTGGAAATAGTGGCCTTGATCAATCACAGTAAGGGCAACGCAAAAGTGCCTAACCATGCAGCCGGACTGGCTTGATGAATTCTGAAAATTCTGAAAACTCTTTCCATCCCCAAACATTCCAGGCATCTCTATTTAATTCCTTCAATAGGCTCAGGCACAGCAATACACAGAGTATGCAAGTGTTTTATTCTGTAAGATATACAATTGTACAAAATCAGGAAGGAAGAGCAAAGCAATAAGCTGGAAGAAAAATAAGGAAGTTGCCATTTTGCTTTGGTACTGGGGGACACAGAGAAGAGACACAAGTTTAGAGCAAATCTGTGACAAAATACAATAAAATTTATTTATTGAATTTGCATAATTATGTTGTTGGGGACGGCAATTCTCTAAGAATTTAGGAGAGAACAGATTTAGATGGACTGGACCCTTACTAGCAACATGCATTACAGAGTCGAAGAAAACTTCAGGTCATCAACTGGCCCAGTTTGCTGCCTTTGAACTAGTAAATTATTATTATTATTATTATTATTGTTTTATAGAGGAGGCAACTGAAACTTTAAGCAGTTGGGCCTGCCTAGTTACGCAGCTTCTAAATTGTGGAAAGTCAAACACCTGTTTTCTACTAAAATTCTTGATAGGGTTTGCCTGTGTCCCACCCAAATCTCACCTTGAATTGTAATCCCCACAGGTCAAGGGCCGGGCCAGGTGGAGATAATTGAATCATGGCAGCAGTTTCCCCCATACTGTTCTCATGGTAGTGAATAAGTCTCATGAGTTCTGATGGTTTTATAAATGGGAGTTCCCCAGCACAAGCTCTCCTGCCTGCTGCCATGTAAGACATGACTTTGCTCCTCTTTTGTGTTCCGCTATGATTGTGAGGTCTCCCCAGCCTTCTGGAGTCTATTAAACTGTGAGTCTATTAAACCTCTTTCCTTTATAAATTACCCAGTCTTGGGTGTATGTATTTATTAGCAGTGTGAGAATAGGCTAATACAGTTCTGTATTGAGCCCTCCTTTTCACCCCACTCTAAAACTGATTTGCTTATATTTAAGAAATTTCACAGAGAAGACTGGTAGCAATAGAAATCCTATTTATAATCAAATGCCTAAATTTACTTTTTAAAGAAATTTAAAACACATTTTGGCAATAAAGGCAATAGCAATCTTCATTTTATAAAATATTATGGGGAAATATCCATGTGACCTATTGTGACCCAAACTGAGTAATAGGTGAAAGCAGAAAACCAAACTCCAGTTTGGATTACTAATGGCTTTCTAAACTGACATAAAGGATGCCAAGAAAGATGAGAAGTGTTTCCAGCATTATCAATTATAGATGGCATTTCTAGTTGGGAAGACATGATCCCTACCCTCGAAGAACTTGTTGGTTAAATGATAGGACTAACAGAAAAGAAAACCATAGAAATAAAATTCATACAAACTACACTAAAACAGGTGTAAGAAAGGTACATTGAGTGTGTAACTTTCTGAGTTAATCAGGGAAGTTCTCTTTGATGAGGTCCTGGATGCTGAGATTAATATTAGAGGTTAGTGGCCACAGGACGTCTCAGAAAATAGGTATACTAATTAGGGTTACATAAAAAGAGGTGGCTTCGGATTCCTTGGCCTAGGGAGAAACTCCCCCATGGTAGTCAGCCCAGTTTAATACAGTAATCTTGACCATTTAGGAGAATCTGGAATGCGTATTGATAATTCAGTACTCAGATAATTCTGGGGAAATCTCAGGAAGGCCAGTGAGAGCAATGAGGAACTAACAATGCCAACAAAAATGATTAAAAAAAAAAAATTAATTCTGGGATTTATTTCTCCGTATCTTTTCAATGATAGTTTCTTTGTCATATTTACTTACTGGTTGAAGATAGGACAGGACATAGAAGACAATCAAGTTATCCAGGAAATAAAGAAAGGCAGGAATGGACCACTTCATGAAATTGGAGAATTCCTTCCAGGAAGCACATTTCAAATTTGTACTTTGATGATCTTAGAAAGAAATACAGTGTAAATAAATGACTTTGATGAGAATGCCCACGTTTTTAGAGAAATTCCACTGCACTTGATTACTGATACAATTATTTAAAGGGAGCTTCCTAAACGTGCCTCCATAAGAGAATATTAGCTAAAAGTAATCAAAGACAATAGGGAATTTCATTACTATCTCTCTTCAACCCACCAGTTTCATCACTGACAACCAGCAACAACCTTAGGACTACTGGTTATCCTAATTCCCATTAATTTGAGATAACAGAAGTATTACTTAAGGCAACTCAGGATATATATGTGGTTTCACTTACTGCTGTAAGAGCATAAGGCCAAGAGGGAGATCAACAAGTGAGAATAAGTTAAAAAAAAACAAAAACAAAAACAAAAAAAACAAAAAAAAAACACCAAGCCTTCATACTGGAATTTTTGCCCCCCAGGGCAAATCAGGAAAGGGGGATACTAAATCGAAATTGATATATATGGAACTAGAGAAAGTTAACTTTTAGTAATCCTAGTCAGTTATTATTCCATCTCTAGGTTTCTAAAAACTTAGGCACTGTAGCAGAGAACGTAAAACAAAAAGAAAACAAAGGCAGTTTAAGGCCCTGCAAATCATGAGTTTTATGAGATTAAGAAAAGTAGTCACTAACTAGAAACTGCAAAGTTTGAAACCCTGGGGTATGAAAAGAGATCTTGCTGGGCAAACACTTTAATGCTCTAAAGTTTATGTTTACCTCGTGTGAAGGTAGATAAAAGAGGCAGAGGGAGCGGAGGTGCAATAATTGGGGAACTAAGGTGAAGAATTAATATACATTAAAGAGCATATACATTCCATGAAGACTATATACTTTACATTTGAGAAATGAATTAGTATCCCTATGTGATAGCTCAGAAAACTGGAGCTCAGAGAAAATAATCTGCCCCAGAACAGTCTCTAATGCCACTGCACTATTCTACCTTCCCTGTAGGAAATGGGAACTATTTTGAAATATGATACATCTCAAGTTAGACAGCACATGATTTAGAAAGTCTTTAATTTGAATAAAAACTAACTTACTGCAACAACTATCACAGAACAAGTAACAAGATAGAGTAATAGGAAGGGCATTAGGAAACGTAAGTTGGTGTCCCAGCTCCTCCCCTTCCTATGCAGCTCTGCATAACACTTTCTCTTTGAGCTTGTTTCTCTACCTCTAAAACAAACTTATGTTTGTATCTTAGCTTCCTCATATAAAATTTAATGGACTAAGCTAAATGATATAAAATGTTCCTTTCAGTTCTAACATTTTTTGGTCTTGTGATTTTTAACAAGTATATAGCACCATTTCAAGACTTACCTTTCTTTATAACACAGACTGACACAAGCACACAGAAAACTAGCTTCACCAGTTCTGAGCACACATTCACAGAAGTTGGAAGATAATCATACTTGTTTTCTGAAATGTAACAGAAATGTTTTTTAACTATACATTTTATTCTATATATGTTTATATACAGTATAACTTATAATTGTTTAAAAACTTAAAAGCTGGATTTACTACTGGCTATATTAAGTTTCTTCCAGTTAGCTTTGCTCCTTTGGATTTTTTAATCAATTCACCTAATGTATTGGCTATCCCTATCCCATTTGGCTTTTTATTATCCTTGAATTTGTTAAACATGCCTCTCATGTCTTCATCCAAGTTGCTAATAAATATGTTGAGGAGGCTAGGACTAAGGGCAAAGAATGCTCTGCGGCATGGCATTAGAGACTGCCAGTAAATTGACCATCAGTCAACACCGACTCATCAGTTATAAACTGACCTGCTGAATTATTACTCAGCTCATAATTTTTCTTGTGATTTGTTTGCCTTGCTAAAATTGAGGTACATTCTGTCTATGACATTCCCTTAAGAGTCTTCCAATCTGTTTTATATCATCGTACACACGGAAAACATTAATATTTGTCTGGCACTCTGGGATAAATGGAAGAAGGAAACTATCTGAGGCAAGAGGCAACTGGCCTAGGGCTCTGCTACCTTTAGGGCCGAGAGGAAATACTTGGACACATCCAGACCCACTAATGAGTTGGAAAGCTACGTCCTAAATTGCAAATCAATAGAATTAGGAAGTGAGGTTTGGTTGGCATGACTTCATCTCAACTTTTACCCATCTCTTCTAAATGCTTACAAACAACTTGCTTTACAATTTTGCCAAGGATAAACATAAACTTTATTGGGTACTATTTTCAGGAATGCATTTTCCCCACTTTTGAAAATATTTGCTTGCTTCTCTCAGTCACATTAAACCAAAATTGGCCAAGTGTAGGGGAAAAAAAACCAAGTGGACACTGTCTATCCAGAACACTTTCTTCCTCTCTTCTGTGGTTTCCCTTGACCTTCTCAAACTAATCAGAATCAATTCTTCATTCATCTCTGTTCTTATAGCACTACCTCTAAACCTTTATGGCATTACTTGTCACATTGGAAGTGTGCGGAATGAAATGGAATGGAAGATCCTTACAAGAAATGGACCATGTTTGTCACCCTCATATACCTGACACTTAGTAGGCACTTAATAAATGTTCACCTGAATTTAAATATCTGCCTGTTCAACTTACCCCATCATTCAAAGCACAGTCAAAACATCTCCTTTTTCTCAGTTAAATGCTAGACTTAACTCACACTGTTATCCTCCAATGATACTTCTCATGATCCATCATGATACACATAAGCCAACATGTGCACATAAGAAGGAGGGACTTTGGATTATAACTTTCAAACCCTTGTCACTGTTCTTTAGCTTGTTCTTGCTTTTCAGTGGTTTTCTTGCAGTTCTTTCATGGCCGATCCCAGACCATATGACAACATGGTATGTGACTTCCCTCCACACATCTCCTGCCCACATTAACATACCTTTCTACATGGCATTCATCCTCACTGGTTTCCCTTCAGCCCCAGAGGAAAGGGCCAAGGCCTGGCTATTCATCTAATCTCCCCTTTAAAACCTTCCCTTCAGGCCGGATATGGTGGCTCATGCCTGTAATCCCAGCACTTTGGGAGGCCAAGGTGGGTGGCTCACTTGAGGTCGGGAGTTTTGAGACCAGCCTGGCCAACATGGTGAAACCACATCTCTACTAAAAATACAAAAAAAATAGCTGAGCATGGCGGCACACGCCTGTAATCTCAGCTACTTGGGAGGCTGAGGCAAGAGAATGCTTGAACTCGGGAGGTGGAGGTTGCAGTGAGCCGAGATCACGCCAGTGCACTCCAGACAGAGCGAGACTCCATCTCAAAACAAAACAAACAAATCTTCCCTTCTCCTCAGATACTTGGCTCCATTTCCTTTGGCTTCAGTGTATCCTTTTTTTTGAGATGGAGTCTTGCTCTGTTGCCCAGGCTGGAGTGCGATGGCCTGATCTCAGCTGACTTCAAGCTCCGCCTCCCAGGTTCACGCCATTCTCCTGCCTCAGCCCGGCTAATTTTTTGTATTTTTAGTAGAGACGGGGTTTCACTGTGCTAGCTAGGATGGTCTTGATCTCCTGACCTCATGATCCACATGCCTTGGCCTCCCAAAGTGCTGGGATTATAGGCGTGAGCCACCACGCCCAGCCTAGTGTATCTTTATCTTCCTCTCTACTAACTGGTTTACTGCCCTTGGCCTACGAACATGCTCAAAACTCTCCCATCTGAAAAACAAAATATAAAATACTACACCCTCTAGCTACCATACCTTCTCCATCTCTCCTTGAAACAGTATCAACATTCTTTATGTGCCGTTTACTCACTTTCCATTCAGGTCTGACCTCCAAGTAATCTGATTTCTGAAACTAACTCCTCTCTGAGATTATCAAACATCTTCTCATTCTTAATTCTAAAGGGTATCCTTTAATCTTTAGCTTATCATGATGTCGCAATTCTTTCTCAGTCTTCAAACTTTCTTGCCTTTCTATGAGTCATGTGCATTTAGTTACCCCATCTTGCTAACGATTTCTCCTTAATGCTTTTGAGTGTCCTCATGCCACTTAAATGCTGGCATTCCTCGGAATTTGGCCCTCTTTATTTTCTCATTCCCTCTCTCTGTTCCTTAAGTTTTAAATATCAATTTAACATTAATGTCCCCAAATCTATATTCTAGAACATTTAACTTATTGCCCACTATAAAAATCCAAATGAAAACCTACCTCTTATTAATATAATTGGCATTTCTTTCATGTGCATGATATGCCAGATACTGCAGAAAACTGCAGTAAGGACATAGCTCCTGACCTCTTCAACTACAATCTTTTCAAACTCTGCCCAACCTACTCTTCCTCCTAATAGTCTCCATCTCAGCTGAGAACATCATCAATCCACTCAGCATTCAAACCAGAAACCCTGGAGCTATACAATGTTATCTCTTTTAATTTTCATATTTAACACATTCTCCAAATCCTGTCTTTTCTATGTTCTGAATACTCCTTATCTATCTTACTACTTCCAAAACAATGTTAGTCTTCATCACCTATGGCTTTAATTTGCAATAACCCCTTAACTGGCTATTGAGCTTCCTGTCTTTTCCACTGCCATCCAGTTACCACAACAGGCCCTCATTTTACCTTCCTATTTATAATCCTTCAAGTATCCTTTATCCCTCAGACTGGCCTAGAGACTAACGTCCTAGCTCCTTACCACGGAATATGAAGTCCTTAATAATCTGAGACTTACCAACCTCTCTCCAGCCAACCACTCCTTCTCTCTCTTCTGAGTCCTTATATTTCTTTTTTTCTTTTTTTTTTTTTTTGAGACAGTTTTGCTCTGTTGCCCAGGCTGGAGTGCAGCGGCATGATCTCGGCTCACTGCAACCTCTGCCTCCCGGGTTCATTCTCCTGCTTGTCTCCCGAGTAGCTGGGATTATAGGCATATGCCAACACACCCAGCTAATTTTTTGTATTTCTAGTAGAGATGGGGTTTCACCATGTTGGCCAACCTGGTCTCAAATTCCTGACCTCAAGTAATCTGCCCGCCTTGGCCTCCCAAAGTGCTGGGATGACAGGCATGAGCCACTGCACCTGGCTGCTAGTCCTTAAACTTTTTGCTTGGTAATTTCAAACTACATATCCTGCTTTTTATGCCTCTGTTCCCTTTTACAGGCTGTTGCCTCTGTTTTGAATACTCTTGTTCACCTTGACTTCTAGTGGATCAACTGTCCCCTAATCAGAGAATTGTTCTCTGATCCATTTGAACTCCACATCGTCCCCTACCAAACAGAATATATAGCTTTATCCTCTAGATAATCTCTGCATCTTCAGGATATATCAATTATTGCAGTTATTATAATGGATTTTCATGATGTGTTTACATTTATGTCTCTCCTAATAAACTAAGTCTTGAGGACAAGGTCTATAACTTATGCATGTTGAACCTGCTGCTAATACTTAGACTAGTGCCTGGCAGATAAATGTTAACTGCAGTAGAGACTTAGGTACACATCTGACTCTCCAAGTAGACCATTAAAGGTCATGTCATGATTGTATGTATCCTCACCTCAATAACTAGTAAGAAGTACTTAATACAGTTTTGTGGAATTAAAGTGTTTGCTTAAATCCTTACATAAAAAAAAATTTCTTAAATACATACTTATCAGAGCTTATAATTTATACTGTTGACACAGTATCATTGCCCAATATAATGCTGACACTTTACCATTGATACAGTAATTACAATAGTAAGTACCTCACAAATGCCAAGTGACCAAACAAATATATCCTTCTACTTCAAAATAAGGTGCAATTACACATTTTGCTATAGGTCCAGAAACACCTGCTGATTGAAGCAATAGTCAAATGTTATGACTGGTTCTTCACTAAAGGGTTTGATTTTTGTATTTGACTCACATTTCATCCAGTATCAAACATTTTTTCTTGTTGAGGAATGCAAGGTTAAATAATCAATTTCAAATATGCTTTATCACTCACATGAAGCAAAAGGCATTACTATCTCCACGTTATATATAAGAAAACCAAAGATGAGAGAGATGTGATTAGATGGAAGTGCTCCATACATATACCCAGTCTTAACTTACCTTCATTGGCAGAATACTTCACCAGTAAGATGCGACTTGAGCTTAAAGCAATGAATATGGCACCTAGCAGGAACGTATACATTGTCGACAAGGAGCATATTATAGGATGACTACAGCACTGTTTTTCCATTCCACCGTTTTTTAATTGCCTTAAAGAGAAAAACACTTTCTTGAACAACCTTGTTGGCAGACCCTAAACGCAAATACCATCGATGATGAGAACAGAAAAGGAATTTTTAAAAAATGTTTGGCTATGACTATATCAACACCAAGAAAGCTGAGGCGTACAGAAGAAACTATGAGAAAAGGAAAGTGAAAATCTGATAAGAGGAGTACTCTAGAGACAGAAAAGGTAGAACCAGATTAGACATGCTGACAAAGATAGCAGACGAGCAAATGACACTTTGCAACAGCAGAAAAGAATTCTTCAAAGCAATTTTAGCTTTTATTTTTAAATTTTATTTATGTATTTTGAGACAGAGTCTCGCTCTGTCGCCAAGGCTAGATAGACTGCAACGGCACGGTCGTGGCTCACTGCAACCTCCACCTACAGGGACTCAAGGCGATTCTCCTGCGTCAGCCTCCAGAGTAGCTGGGACTACAGGCGCCCGCCACCACGCCCGGCTAATTTTTGTCTTTTTAGTAGAGACGGGGTTTCACTATGTTGGCCAGGCTGGTCTCGAACTCCTGCCCTCGTGATCCGCCCACCTCTGCCTCCCAAAGTGCTGGATTACAGGCGTGAGCCACCGCGCCCGGCCTAGCTTTTACTTTTATTAGTAAATAATTTTGCTGTAAGACGAGACTTTCAGAATTGTATTTTCCTCCTCTTTTCCCTCTAAGGAAAAAGCTTATTAGGACAGACTTCATTACAATAACGACCAAAATGGAAATATCTGAAACACTGCTGTAAAGTTTTACTGAACTAGTGTTTGAAATGGAGGAGATCGTAGGAATCAATGAGTCTAAGGCCCTCTTTTAATAGGTTGAGGACACTAAACCCCAGGTTGGGTAAGTAACTTGCCCAAAGCCTCCCAGCGTACCGTAGGAATAGCGCACAGAGCCTGCGTGGAGGGGGGAGAAATGCCAATACTGACAGCCCAAGTGGGCGCACGCGTACAGGAGACCAATAAGACGCCTCCCCAACAGGAGGCAGCCAGGTTTGCCTTCACAGTCAGGGAATACCCCTCTAGTCACACATGCGCAGTAGGGCTCTTGTCTGGCTCACCCTCCCCTCAGACGCACGCGCAATTCCTTGCCCGCGGGGCGCGGTTACCTCCCTCAGAAGGGCTTTCAGTGGAAGAACGCACATCCTAGAGTTGAGACAGTAACTGCCCGGCCCCGTAGTAGCACCAGTAACCTGTAGGGTCCATACGTGGAGAAGCTATAGTAGATATAGGCGAAAGAGCCTCTGCCTCTAAGCCGCCAATTGCGGAACAAAAACACAATTACGTCGGGACTGGGAAAAAGCGCACCCAACACCCATTGCGCAGCCGCATTCAGTGTTAGGCTTCCGGAAGGAGGGGAGAAGCCGCTTATCCCGCCCCAACCCGGCCTTTCTCACGTCACGTGCCGGGAGAGTCAGTGTCACGTGAGGCCCAGGTGGCGGCGCAGCTACGGCAAGGGAGTGAGAAGGAAGGGGAAGCCGGAAGGGGCGCGAGTGAAGCAAAGCGAGGAAAGGCAGCTTCCGAGAGGGCGAGGGGTGCGCGTGCGGCCGCTTATCTCCTCAGGTCTCCTCTCGGCTTGGCTGCCCTCCCTCGCGGCTGGGTGACAGCTGGGCCCGGTCGGTCGCGGGCTGCCTGGGGCTCAAGGATCGAGCACCCTGTCTTCGCGCGTGGTGCCTGCCGCCCCGCCCCCTCGTCCCGCCCGTCCCGTCCCGTCGCGTCGCGTCCCGTCCCCTCGGGTGCTGCCGGCCGGGTGCTGATGTGAGTCGGTGGCAGCGAGGACATTTTTTGACTCCCCGGCCCCTGACCCGGCTGCACTTTCCATCCCGTCGCGGGGCCGGCCGCTACTCCGGCCCCAGGATGCAGAATGTGATTAATACGGTGAAGGGAAAGGCACTGGAAGTGGCTGAGTACCTGACCCCGGTCCTCAAGGTAAGCCAGGCCGGGCTTGCCAGGGGCTGTCTGGCACTTGCTCGACTCTTCAGGGACCGGTCGCCGCAGGAGTCCCCGCCGGTGTAGGAAGGTGTAGGAAGGCGGTAGGGCTCGGGACCCAGGGAAACGTGCAGCCCTCATCCGTAGTCTTCACTGGCTGTTCGTTAGGGCTTTCTGACCCCTCAGGAGTAAACTTGGAGGGACGCTCTGTGCGTGTTCCTGCCTTCGCCCGTCATAACTCTGCGCGGTCGGGTAGTCGAGTTGGAAGGGTGTTTGGCGGCCGAGTAGATTGAAGATCGTTAAATCCAAAGACTGGAAGTCTTTTAGCCTTTTTAAACAAGGATTTTGCTTCTCTTTTTAAAAAATGAATTCAGTGTTTGACGTATGTCACTTTTCCTTTAAGTTTCATAGGAAGTTCGCTGTAGTGGGTAAGTTGTGACTGGGATCTCAACTCGTTTAGATTTCAGAGGAACGAGGTGAAATTGGCAACATTATCTAATTCAGTAACCTTGAACCCATCTAACGAGCATAACCTTTTTCCCAAGGTTTTCAGATAGCCGTAACTGATTGTTAGTGATAACAAGGCACGGTTTGATCTTCCTGGCTGTATAATTTTTTAAAATATGTTGGCAGCAGTACAGCATTTTTAAAGTAAAAAATTGTGACACATGAGCTGTTACAGTAGTGACTGATTTTTTTTTTTTTTAATTTTCAAAAGTAAATTTCTACAACTGCCTTCAAGCTTTGCTTTTGTAACTCTTTTGGAGTTAAGTGTTTTGTTGTAACTTCATTTTTGCTTTCTGAAAAGTGAGCAATAATAGTAAATTAATGGGAAGTTCTTGCTTAGTTTTTGTTTTTTTTTTTCTAGTTGTTTTTAAGCTTTCAATTAGAATGTACCAATCTCAATGTGGGGGTGAAATACCCTAGTATGCTAAGAATAGTGGAGAGTTTTGCTTTTCTCCCTTTCCATGACAAAGGGAAAATATTTGGTCTGTACTTTTTTAAATACGTTTTTGTAAAACTCCTTTTAAAAGAATAACTTATTGGCCAAGTAAGAAATAAACCAGCGATTATAAATGAGAATTTCAACTGTTGCTTTGCTTACATTTGTTTACCGTGAAAGTCATTTTAAGATTATTCAGTCAAACTAAGATTGGAAAATAATTTTCACATTTGAATCAAATGCTTTTACATATTATGGTAACTTTTCAGAATATCATATCTACCTAGGTATACAGTATTTTAATAATACACCATTGTTACAACATTTTAGTTTCAGGGAGAGAGAAGCAAGAGACTGCCTAAATTAAATGTAAAATTTATGATGTAGAATTAGTTTTCAGGAGTCATCTTACTTGCTCACCAAACTGAAAAGGAGCTGTTAGCATGTCAGTATGTATGATCTATGTTTTTAGTAAAAAGGAGAGAATTAATGACTGTCTCCTTGATACTCCTGTGCAAACTGTTGGTTTACAGAGAGAATCCTTAGTTTCCTGCTAGATAAGGGAGGGCAAGGAGAAAAAACAAAGTCCTCAGGAAATAAGTAATAGTCTTTTCCTAGCAAGTAAAAATCAAGAAAAATCATGTTTTGTTTGGAGTATGTGCGTGCAGTAAACACTGAAGTTCTTACAGTCATCGCTAAGGTTCTGCTTAATTGGTAGAGGCCCCAGTCTCATCTACTCCATCCCCTGACTGCTCTTGGTTAAGCTAACCTGATCTCCTCTTTATTATTCCGTTAAGCACGCTCTTGGTTCAGGGTTTTGCATGTGCTCTTCCCTCTATCTGAAACGCGCTTCTCACTTACAGCCTTATGGCATGTTCCTTTCCTTGAGGTTTTCAAGTCATTATTCAATGAAGTCTTTGTTCTCTTACATTTTATTTTAAATGGCCATCTCTCCCCAGCCACCCCACAGATTCCTCTCAGCTTCGTTTTTCTTTATGGCATGTTATTCATTACCATTTGGCTTTTCTTCCTCAACTGGAGTTGAAACTCCTTATGAGGGCAAGAATACATTTGTATTTGTTATTCACACCTAAATATCGCCACTGCCTCAAATAGTGTCCGGTACATAGTAAACATTTGTTGAATGAATAATGTTTATAAATGAGTGTTTTCATTTTTGTAGACTCTACCAGAAAATCTTACGTATAACTTAAAGTTTAGAAAAATTTAGTCAATAGCATTCTTGCTTTAGAGGAGAGAATAGTGTGTCAATATCTTGGTGGAGATGAGAATTAGGGGAAGATGCTAAATGATTTCTAGATTTGGTTTCTAACATTATTCAGTGTAAATAAGACTGGCTGAATTGTAAGATGTCTAAACATCTTTAAGACATTTTTGCTGTGCTTTAAAATAAAGATATTTATTCATTTCACAGAATCTCTGTAAGGCTTTATTTTTATTTAAATCTTAGAATGTTTATACATAGATCTTGGCTGGGCGCGGTGGCACACGCCTGTAATCCCAGCACTTTGGGAGGCCGAGGCGGGCGGATCACCTTAGGTCGGGAGTTCGAGACCAGCCTGACCAACATGGAGAAACCCCGTCTCTACTAAAACACAAAAATTAGCCAGGCGTGGTCGCGCATGCCTGTGATCCCAGCTACTCGGGATGCTGAGGCAGGAGACTCGCTTGAACCCGGGAGGTGGAGGTTACCATGAGCCAAGATAGCGCCATGGCACTCTAGCCTGGGCAACAGGAGCGAAACTCCATCTTAAAAAAAAAAAAAAAAAGGAATGTTTCTACATAGAGCTTTATTATAGCTCTGATCCGATAGTATTATAATCATTTTCATGTCTGTTTCCTACATTAGACTTGTATATTCCTGTGGTCATTACCAGTGAGTGAAACAAATAGATAGATATAGATAGATACCAGTGGGGGAGGTAGGTAGGTAGATAGATTAGATAGATAGATTATAGATTAGATAGATTTTTTTTTTTTTTTTTTTTGCATGTGCTCCATTGCCTGGAAGGGCACCAGGCAAATAATTGCCCCAAAAATATATTTAATTGATAGTGAAACATAATGTTTTTCTTTGCTTTTTTTTTTTTTAGGAATCAAAGTTTAAGGAAACAGGTGTAATTACCCCAGAAGAGGTGAGTGCTGAAGATAATACTGAAGCCCTTTTATTTTACAATTATATTAAACTAGGTGGCTTTTCTGCTTCATAAGAAAATATCTTGAACTTTAATTTTGATTTGAGTAAAATTAGGTTTTATGACTGTTTGTGATTTATGGGAATTTCTACTTCCCATACAGGAAAAGATGTAACTTCCCTGTCAGTTTGCCACTTCTCATATTTCTCTGTAGTTCCTTTTCATTTAGAAATGAGGGTGAAAGAAGGGATCGAAACGAGTCCTATATCACTTATCCTTCATTTGTATTGGTGTTATATTGAGCTGTGCAGTAAGTTCTGTAGTGTTTGTGGTGTCTTGGTTCTGTCTACATCAAATGTGAGTTTTCATGCTTTTCATTGGAAAACTTTGCTCACTACTTAGATATTGTTTATCTTAAGAGTTCTTTTTTGTTTAGTTTATTTTGTTGTCCCTGGAGAAATAAATACTGGGCTAAAAACCTTTTCAGGCTCCAATTTTATGAATAGTTATGGTTTTATCAGATTTATGTTACTCTTAATAAAAGACTGTTTAAGCTTTTTATTTTATTTTATTTTATTTTTACTGTCAATGAAAACACCACTTATTGGCAATAGAACTTTATTCACTGTTTTGAAACAAACTTTTTAAACCTCATTATATGATAAGGCTGCTGCTGTTAAGGTCCAGGGTGTCGAGCTAGAGAATTAACTGATCTTTCAGTTTTCAGTTGTAATGGAATCTGTCCAAATCCTTGTGAGTTTTAAGAATGGTTTGGCCAGGCGCAGTGGCTCACTTCTGTAATCCTAGCACTTTGGGAGGCCAAGGCAGGCGGGTCACGAGGTCAGGAGATCCAGACAATTCTGACTAACGCTGTAAAACCCTGTCTACTAAAAATACAAAAAAATGAACTGGGCGTGGTGGCGGGCACCTGTAGTCCCAGCTACTTGGGAGGCTGAGGCAGGAGAATGGCTTGAACCTGGGAGGCGGAGCTTGCAGTGAGCCGAGATCACGCCACTGCAGTCCAGCCTGGACGACAGAGCAAGCCTCCGTCTCCGAAAAAAAAAAAAAGAATGGTTTGCCTAACTGATCTTTTATCTCAAATTGTCTTTTATTTTAGGTGAAGACACATGGTAGTATGGAAAGAATCTAGGAGACCTGCCTTCTAGACCTATATCTGTAATTTCTCCTAGTGAGGAAATCAGTTATGCTATACCTGCCGAGGCTTCATGTTTCTTCATCTATAAAATAACGGTTGTGGGCTAGACCTTCTGTAAAGATCCTATTCTGCCTTAGGTTTTATACCTCAAATGCCAAATAAAACTAAGTTTTGATTTTAAGGATATCATTAACATTCTTGCCAAGCAGGTGTAATTTGACCATGGCTCTTTATCTGAAATCAAGAGCGGAGATGAAAGTATGCTGTTCTTGCTCTCTTTGGTTTTATTTCCTCTGTGAAGATGACTAATTGTTGAATAGATAGTTGCAGTTAGAGATGCAAGTCCGTGGTCATTGTATAGAATTAAGCAGTTTCAAAACAGGAATTCATGCTAGAATAAATAACTGTTACACTTAATTACAACATCAATCAATTTATGAACTTTCCTCCCTCTAAAAAAATCCAAGGCCAAATTAGCCCAGCTGGGTGCCCAGCACATAATGCAGCGTTGGGATAGAGCACAGTTACAGGATTGAGCTAGAGTAGAATGAGTGTGGAGAAGGAAATGGGAAGGCATCATTTGCTTTGTGTAAATATTATATACTGAGTTGATTTGTTCATTTGTTTCCTTTTACTGTTTCTGGGTTTCTGCCAGACATCAGCTGTCTTTTTATTTTCATTCAGAGGTGAGACAGTATTGTGCTTAGAAAGAGGAGCAGCTAGTATCTGATACTGTATTGTCAAAAAAAAAAAAAAGGAAACACTAATGTTGGATGTGTATGATTTGATTAAGTAGAATACTATTAATTGAGGTTAGCTTGAGGAGTGGAATTGCTCACCAAGATGTAAACATTGATTCTTGTTGGAGTTAATCAGTATTATATACTGATAATAAAGATCACAAGAGAACATTTTTAGTCTCTAAGAGAAAGCTACTGCAAGCAATATTGATCATTTAGAAATTTGAATCTTATAGTATTTGAACACATGAAGCAAGTAATGGTGGCCATTGCTAATGAGGGCAGATGTACACGTGTTTATTATCAGTGCAAGTGTGGGTTTTTGTTGTTGTTGTTGTTGTTTTTTCGTTTTTCTTGCCTTCTAGTGTTCTTGTTTTTAAATAGAAGCTGCTATAGGGACTATGAGACAAAATATTTGTCTTGTTACCTCAAGGCAATACAATGAAAGAGTTTTTAATTATTTATTTTGCTTTCATTTTGTTAAATTACTACTTTTAATGGTAATAAGTTAGTTCCTGATAACCACAGAGCTAAATGTAGCATCTGGTTGCAATGACCTCAAAGTGCTCAAAACTTGGGGAAGAGACTATTGTTTTTATTTTGGTTTTTGTCTTTACTTAAGCTGTTTACTTAAGCTGTTTAATAAGGTTATTTGAAGTAAAAGAACAGAAACAAAGTCAGGAATCCAGTTGCTGTATCTTGTTAATGTTTCATCTTAAAAGAGGTTACTCTTAGAATTATTTGATAGAATTGTATGCTCAAAATAGAGTATTTTATATAGACATACTTTCTCAGAAAAGTATTAGAGATTAAATATTTTGTAATTTTTTGCTGTATAATAAACCCATGAACGATACAAGATTTTAAGCTAGAGCTTTTGCGAAATAGAAGTAATTTGGCAAGTATACGCGTGTCACGCGCATCCGTGTGAAGAGATCACCAAACAGGCTTTGTGTGAGCAGCAAGGCTGTTTGTTTCACGTGGGTGCAGGTGGGCTGAGTCCGAAAAGAGAGCAAAGGGTGCTGGGATTATCAAGAGTTCTTATAGATTTTTGGGATAGGCTGTGGAGTTAGGAGCAATGTGTTTTGCCGGCTAGGGGTGGATCTCACAAAGTACTTTCTCAAGGGTGGGGAGAATTACAAAGAACCTTCTTAAGGGTGGGGAGAATTACAAAGAAACTTCTTAAGGGTGGGGGAGATTACAAAGTACATTGATCAGTTAGGGTGAGGAAGAAACAAATCACAATGGTGGAATGTCATCAGTTAAGGCTATTTTCACTTCTTTTGTGGATCTTCAGTTGCTTCAGGCCATTTGGATGTACACATTCTGGTCACAGGGGATATGATGGCTTAGCTTGGGCTCCGAGGCCTGACAATGCGCATTCTGCTTGAGTTGGAACACTGCAGTTATGCTTAACAGACTATGAGCAGGATTTCTGTTAGCCAGTAAGATCAGCTCATGTTCGAGTAAACTGATAATTCTCAAATGGTTAAAGTTTATCTCCCTGAATCTGGTTTTTATTTCTGAAGAAAAACAAAAACTTGTACAATATTTCAGCCCGCTTAGAAAGCCTAAGATTTGTTAGAGGATTCAATTTTTTAATTTTGTAGGTGTTTTCAGAGTGAGACCAAAAAGCTTCTAATTTTTTCCCATTGTTTTGGCACTGCATTTCTCTTTTAGGAGTGCAAAAACACTTTCAAAATTACTTAAATTTTTAAAAATAATAAAAGAGGAAGAAGTGTGCCCTGTGATATAATAAAGTAGATTTACATCATAGACTTATATCTATTTAGTAATTTTTTTGGATTTTTATTGTATTTTTAATCTTTGACAAGAATGTGTCTACATTTTTGTATCCTTAAAATGGATTTTGACAATTTAAATCTGATAGCTTTACCTTTATCAATTTCATGATACTGCTTTTGGCATTACTTAATCCAATGATAAAAACTGAATTTTTAAAAAAGAGCACTTGACGTTTTTTCTTCCAACATTAATTTGAATTTTTTTATGGACGTTAGAAAATGTTGCAGTTTAGTCATAATCAAAAATAAATCTTGAGGCTAGTAGAGCAGTTTTGGTGCTGTTTATATTTTAATTGCTTACTGGATTTCAATGTTACCTAGGGCCATCACTTTGGTATTTTGCCACCTTGCACATTAAGTGATGTTTGATTTTTCTTTTTTCTTTTTTTCATATTACTTCTAAATCCTGAATAGTTTGTGGCAGCTGGAGATCACTTAGTCCACCACTGTCCAACCTGGCAATGGTAAGTAATATTGAATAAAGAATAGAAAACTAGTAAAAGGCATGGCTTCAGAATTATAGCAATTTGCAAAACAGGTTGATGGATGAAAATTAGAATGACCAGTTTAACTTACTCCCCGCAGATTTTTCTGTTAAACAGTGCCCCCAGTGATACTCAAAATAAAATAGAGGAAGAACAAGTGGGTGTTGTACCCACGTTATTTTGCTATGTTAGCACAATAGGTGGACTTATTTGAGAAAAATGCATTTACTTCTTTACTATTATTTCTTTTCTTTATAGTGTTTAGGTCTGACCTTCTGGTTTGTTGAATAATAGTTTAATAAAATTTGATCGGGTTTTTGGCGGGGCACAGTGGCTCATGCCTGAAATCCCAGCACTTTGGGAGGCTGAGGCGAGCAGATCACGAGGTCAGGAGATGGAGACCATCCTGGCTAGCATAGTGAAACCCCATCTCTACTAAAAATACAAAAAATTAGCCGGGTGTGGTGGGGGAGGCTGAGGCAGGAGAATGGCATGAACCCAGGAGGCAGAGCTTGCAGTGAGCCGAGATGGTGCCACTGCACTCCAGCCTGGGTGACAGAGTGAGGCTCAGTCTCAAAAAAAAAAAAAAAAAAAAATTTGGACAGGCTTTTTTTCAAATTAACAAAATTTATTGAACATTTTTGTGGCATTAATAAATGCAGAGATTTTGCAGTTTTATTTTCTTTAAAATATAAGACATAAACATTTTCCATTAGGTTCAAAAGTATGCTCCATCTTTAGAAAACTAGCTAAAGCTAAAAGAAAGGTTTATGATACCAATTAAGGCCTTCACTGTAAGTCTGCTTTTAAGAGGCTTTAAGTTTTTGTTTTTTTAATAGCTTTTATTTTAATTACTAAAGTACTTTAAGCAATTTAGCAGTTTTCACAATCTATATTTTAAAATATTCTGAATAATCACAATGTTTTATTACTTTCAAGTACCCATGATAAAGATTCCCTGTTGGTAGCTGAAATATTGGCAGAACTTTTATTTAAACTAGAATTGCTTGGAATTATCACCTTGTTTGGATGTAGGTGCTTCAACTTGTTATATCTTTTTTTTTCTTAAAATTTTTTTTCAATTGTAGTTGAAAAGTATAGTTTTGACTGGAGATAGGAGTTCTATAATTAACAAGTTTCCAATTGATAATGTTTTTCTTAATATCTAAAGACCTTGAAATGCTCTTTCATCTGTGGCCTGTTATTCTCCTGCATTTTAGTACTTACCATGTAGCTGAAACAGTTGTCACTGCTTTTTTCAATTACTCTTTATTTTGTAGGGCATTATTTGTGTACCAAAAGACTAAAGTTTCAAGTTTGTTTTCTGCTCCATATTTAAAATTAAATTCATGTCATAGAAGCTCTCTGATTTAATGAAGGTTTTTCTTTTTTCTATATTCCAGGTATTCTGTTAAAACTATATTTAGCTAGGTTCTGGTCTATAATTTATGTGTATTTCAAGTCAAATAGGGACATGATGTTTACAATAATATTCACTTTGTGAAAATAAGTGATTTAGGATTTTTTTCAATATGATAAGCATTGAGATTTCTTTGTTCTACCAGCTTAATTGTTTAAGTAGTGTAGATATTTGATTTATAGCATTGTTGTAGGGGCTTGTATATATGGACAGGATCTCTTTTTTAGCAGGTACTAGTAGTTTTATTCCATTTTATGAATTACAATGATTTTACTGTAACTTAGAACTCAATTATACCCCACTTTAGTGTCCACACTTTTGGCTAAATTGCTGGGCCAAAGGAAAAATTCATTTTAAATCAGTGCTAGAGACAGGTTATACCTTCATGCTTATACCTTCATGTGCACAAGTGCTATTATGACCTTATTTTAACTCTTCCCTTAGAACTTCAGGTGTTGCCATGACATTGTTGAATTTGACACTTGGGACTAGTCAAAAGAAGCCTAGAAGACTGTCAAATAATTTTAGGGCTTTTCCTGACTTTACCTTGTGCCCAGATCAATGGTTTGAACTTTAGACTGAAGCTTGAAAAGACAGCAGAACTCCAAATTTATGCTCATATGTTTGTGACAGACACCACATACCATTCCACCTCTCACCATTTTCAGATTTTTTTCATATTACTTCTAAATCCTGAATAGTTTGTGGCAGCTGGAGATCACTTAGTCCACCACTGTCCAACCTGGCAATGGTAAGTAATATTGAATAAAGAATAGAAAACTAGTAAAAGGCATGGCTTCAGAATTATAGCAATTTGCAAAACAGGTTGATGGATGAAAATTAGAATGACCAGTTTAACTTACTCCCCGCAGATTTTTCTGTTAAACAGTGCCCCCAGTGATACTCAAAATAAAATAGAGGAAGAACAAGTGGGTGTTGTACCCACGTTATTTTGCTATGTTAGCACAATAGGTGGACTTATTTGAGAAAAATGCATTTACTTCTTTACTATTATTTCTTTTCTTTATAGTGTTTAGGTCTGACCTTCTGGTTTGTTGAATAATAGTTTAATAAAATTTGATCGGGTTTTTGGCGGGGCACAGTGGCTCATGCCTGAAATCCCAGCACTTTGGGAGGCTGAGGCGAGCAGATCACGAGGTCAGGAGATGGAGACCATCCTGGCTAGCATAGTGAAACCCCATCTCTACTAAAAATACAAAAAATTAGCCGGGTGTGGTGGCAGGTGCCTGTGGTCCCAGCTACTTGGGAGGCTGAGGCAGGAGAATGGCATGAACCCAGGAGGCAGAGCTTGCAGTGAGCCGAGATGGTGCCACTGCACTCCAGCCTGGGTGACAGAGTGAGGCTCAGTCTCAAAAAAAAAAAAAAAAAAAAATTTGGACAGGCTTTTTTTCAAATTAACAAAATTTATTGAACATTTTTGTGGCATTAATAAATGCAGAGATTTTGCAGTTTTATTTTCTTTAAAATATAAGACATAAACATTTTCCATTAGGTTCAAAAGTATGCTCCATCTTTAGAAAACTAGCTAAAGCTAGAAGAAAGGTTTATGATACCAATTAAGGCCTTCACTGTAAGTCTGCTTTTAAGAGGCTTTAAGTTTTTGTTTTTTTAATAGCTTTTATTTTAATTACTAAAGTACTTTAAGCAATTTAGCAGTTTTCACAATCTATATTTTAAAATATTCTGAATAATCACAATGTTTTATTACTTTCAAGTACCCATGATAAAGATTCCCTGTTGGTAGCTGAAATATTGGCAGAACTTTTATTTAAACTAGAATTGCTTGGAATTATCACCTTGTTTGGATGTAGGTGCTTCAACTTGTTATATCTTTTTTTTTCTTAAAATTTTTTTTCAATTGTAGTTGAAAAGTATAGTTTTGACTGGAGATAGGAGTTCTATAATTAACAAGTTTCCAATTGATAATGTTTTTCTTAATATCTAAAGACCTTGAAATGCTCTTTCATCTGTGGCCTGTTATTCTCCTGCATTTTAGTACTTACCATGTAGCTGAAACAGTTGTCACTGCTTTTTTCAATTACTCTTTATTTTGTAGGGCATTATTTGTGTACCAAAAGACTAAAGTTTCAAGTTTGTTTTCTGCTCCATATTTAAAATTAAATTCATGTCATAGAAGCTCTCTGATTTAATGAAGGTTTTTCTTTTTTCTATATTCCAGGTATTCTGTTAAAACTATATTTAGCTAGGTTCTGGTCTATAATTTATGTGTATTTCAAGTCAAATAGGGACATGATGTTTACAATAATATTCACTTTGTGAAAATAAGTGATTTAGGATTTTTTTCAATATGATAAGCATTGAGATTTCTTTGTTCTACCAGCTTAATTGTTTAAGTAGTGTAGATATTTGATTTATAGCATTGTTGTAGGGGCTTGTATATATGGACAGGATCTCTTTTTTAGCAGGTACTAGTAGTTTTATTCCATTTTATGAATTACAATGATTTTACTGTAACTTAGAACTCAATTATACCCCACTTTAGTGTCCACACTTTTGGCTAAATTGCTGGGCCAAAGGAAAAATTCATTTTAAATCAGTGCTAGAGACAGGTTATACCTTCATGCTTATACCTTCATGTGCACAAGTGCTATTATGACCTTATTTTAACTCTTCCCTTAGAACTTCAGGTGTTGCCATGACATTGTTGAATTTGACACTTGGGACTAGTCAAAAGAAGCCTAGAAGACTGTCAAATAATTTTAGGGCTTTTCCTGACTTTACCTTGTGCCCAGATCAATGGTTTGAACTTTAGACTGAAGCTTGAAAAGACAGCAGAACTCCAAATTTATGCTCATATGTTTGTGACAGACACCACATACCATTCCACCTCTCACCATTTTCAGATGACCCACAAATTCTTAAGAAGAGGTGCCAGAGCAGCTCAGAAATGTAGATAGTTGGCTCTGACCCACAGAGGGAGCAGTGTTTAAAAGTAGGAGCCCTGAAGTCACTTGGCTTTGATCCTTGCTCTCCCACCTAGTTTTGTGATCATAGGCAACTTGATCTGTTTAATCTTTAGTTTACTTAACTATAAAAGGGGATATTTATATTTTCTACTGTTTAGAGTTATGAAGACTAATTGAAAATAACATGTTGGAGACTTAAATTCTATATTTAATAAGCACTCAATGAAAGGGTTTTTTGTTTTCAAGAATTATTAATATTGTCATTTTATGATTCAAAGCATCTTTTGTCTCTTAGTTCTGATTTTAATACAGTGATAGGAACAGGGATTTTGCCACCCACCTACATTGTTACATAATGTCTTGCAGCTTTTTTTTCTGCCTTGTTCTCAAGATGAGCAGCAGTACTTTAGGATTAAAAATGTGAGAGATTATACAATGGGCTACAACTTACTGAGGAGCAGCATATTTCACTTAGATTATTGTTGCGCTTTTTTCCATGCCGACATACTTACTTAATGGAATCCTTCCCAAATCAATTTTAAACCAATTTTCTGAGAAGTATGGATTATGTCATTTTGAGATTTATATGTGATACTTTCTGCTCTATATTTGCCTATTAAAATACATTTTGTATTTTGGTGCTTTTCACTGTTTTTAAAGGGCTACAGGGGAAGAATTGAAAGTGAAGGCATACCTACCAGCAGGCAAACAATTTCTGGTAACCAAAAATGGTAAGAATTATGTTGCATATATTAATAAATTTTGCACAGAGGTATATTAAAATGAAGCTCTGGGTTTTTCTGTTGCTTGAAAATTTTTTCCTTGGTTTTATCTCCTCTTTCTGTTATTTCTTTCTGCCAAAAACATATAGTTGTCAAGATATAAAGGAAGAGGACCCTAAGGAAAGTTAGACTTCTAAGTGGATTTTTTTGAAGTTGGCTTCATAATAATCTTTCTAGGTATTTGATTTTAATCTTCTTTAGACTGCAATTTTGTATGGAAAATGTAATTCATACTACCTATGATAGCTAAAAGCACAGAGCTGAAGATGTTATTACCCGTTGTGTCATAGAAGGGCACAAAAATATTTTGAAACAGGTAGTGGTTTTTTTATTTTTGGTTTTTTTGAGACAGTCTCGCTGTGTTGCCCAGGCTAGAGTGCAGTGGCGTGATTTCGGCTCACGGGTTCAAGCGATTCTCCTGCCTCAGGCTCCCAAGTAGTTGGGATTACAGGCCTGCCACCACACCCTGCTAATTTTTGTATTTTTAGTAGAGACAGGGTTTCGCCATGTTGGTCAGGCTGGCCTCGAACTCCTGGCCTCAGGTGACTTGCCCGCCTTGGCCTCCCAAAATGCTGGGATTACAGGCGTGAGCCACCGCGCCTGGTGGAAACAGGTAATGTTTTATTTATGAAGTTAAATTTAAAAACAACATCAAAAGGTTGTTAATAGTTCCTAACTAATCACAGAACAGTACATTGATTTCTGTTCCAATTTACTCATTATAGGAAAGGGAAAATAATGTGTACAAAACAGTTTTTTCTTTTCAACAGTATATTTCTTTTTACAAAGGCTGATAATTTATATCCTGATTGTTTAAAAAAAATCAGGAGATTAAAAAGCAATTTGTTGACCTTATACCATAATGCTTTCACCGTATAATTACCCAATCTTAGGCTTGTGAATAATAATGCCTGTTAATTGACACATTTACTGTATGAACAACTTACCAGTGTGGTATAAAGAAGTAAAAATCAGAAGGTTGGTGAATTTTAAACTGTTTTATCCATTGTAAATAACTGGAACTTAAATATGAATTATAAAATTTATATTGAAAGTTACTTTAGCTTTGAAAACAAGAGGTCACCTTTACCACCACTGAATATGACAGCTGGTAGCTCCATGTTCTGAGAGTAAAGCCATTAAAATAAGGTATTATTATTCATTAGACTGACATTGAACTTCAGCCTGCTGTTCTTCACAGACCATCATGGTAAAGGAATGCATAGAACATTCCCAATAGAGACTTTCTGCTTGTCTTCTGACAAAGCTATTTAGGAAAAGGTAAATGTAGCCAAATAATTTTGTGTCTGTGGGCTGAATGTAACTCTTAATCACCTTTAAAAGTGAAACATAATATTCACTTAGTATTTTGGTGGTATAAACACCCTATTTTGTGGACTAAGCTCTTCTTTCTAATGGGTTTATGGTTAGCAGATTATGTGCTAGTAACTGTATTTACCATTTTTTTATAGTGCCGTGCTATAAGCGGTGCAAACAGATGGAATATTCAGATGAATTGGAAGCTATCATTGAAGAAGATGATGGTGATGGCGGATGGGTAGATACATATCACAACACAGGTAAGAGGAGAATAGAATGACATACCTTTAGTTTAAACTCTTTCACAATCTTTTATAATAGCCTAGATTTAAAAAAGAGGATACATAAGGCATAGTTTTGTCAGTAGACTTACATGAAAAAAGCAGGAGGACAAATATTAAAAAAGAAGCCTTTAGAGTATGCCAAATTTATTTATTTTTGTTGTTGTTGTTGAGACAGAGTCTCGCTCTGTCGCCAGACTGGAGTGCAAGCAGTGTGATCTTTGCTCACTGCAACCTCCACCTACCGGGTTCAAGCGATTCTCCTGCCTCACCCTCCCGAGTAGCTGGGCCTACCGGTGCGCACCCCCATGCCCAGCTAATTTTTGCATTTTTAGTAGAGATGGGGTTTCACTTTGTTGGCCATGATGGTCTCCATTTCTTGACCTCGTAATCTGGCTGCCTCAGCCTCCCAGAGTGCTGGGATTACAGGCATGAGCCACTGCGCCTGGCCAGAGTATGCCAAATTTCTATAATACCTGCTACTTCCATTGCAACTTGAAAATACTCAATATTATTTTCTTAGTTCCTAGATAGAGGGGGAAAAAAGTCCATCAGAGATGCTGAATATGCATACTACTTTGCTTTACTGTCTCTTGCTTACATGTCATTGTCATTCCACTGCTGGATTATGTGGTCCTCTATGACAGGAACTATACTGTATTCACATTTACCCAGAGAACTGACATCTATTAAGTATTTAATAATTGTTAAATAACAACTAAAAGAAATTTTTAGTGCTGTAAGCTCCATGAAAGTAAAGATTTGTTGTTGAATTCTCCGTATCTATCACAGTGTATGATATAGAAGTTGTTCAGTAAATATTTGTTAAATGAGTTGAATGCAAGGTTTTTATAAGTGTTTCCATGATTTATTTGAAACCCTGAATATACTTTTTTATTCTAAGTCCTAAAACACTGTTTCGCCACTATATTTATATAACTATGTAAATGCATATTAAGTGCTGCTGAAGCTAACTACCATTTATTACTTGTTTTGATGAAGAAAATGTACTCTAAGTTTAAATCCGTGATACTAAAAACGAATTTTTCTCCCTTTGAGTCCTAGAGATTAGGAGGTATATCCTTAGTAGTAGTAATAAAACAGGGTTTCTCAAATTGGCACTGCTCTTTGGAATGGAAAATGTGCTCTAAGTTTAAGTCCTTGATACTAAATACAAGTTTTTCTCCCTTTGAGTCCTAGAGATTAGGAGCTATATCCTTAGTAGTAATAGAACAGGGTTTCTCAACCTTGGCATTGTTTTTTGGAATGGATAATTATTTCCTGTGCATTGTAGAATGCTTAGCAGTATCTCTGGCCTGTACCCACTAGATACCAGTAGCATCCCCCAGTTTTAACAACCAAAAATGCCTCCAGACATTGCTGAATGTTTCATGGGGGAAAAAATTGCTGCCTTCAGTTGAGACTCACTGCAGTAGACAGAGGGCTAAGTATCTGCCCAAGTAAAAGTTTCTTCTTAGGTCAGTTTCTCCTCTACTCTTAATAAAGGATGTTGCCTCTTTCCTTACGGAGATATAGGCAAAGATTTAGGACTTGGGTTCCTTGATCTGAAATTTATTGGCTTATTAGTGAGTTGAGTGCTATATCAAAGCCTAAAGGAAATAACAGATTGAAAAACTTTTGAAAGTAATTTCAGAAATCATCCTTCTTTTCCCCCCACTGACTAGTGAAAGTCTATTAACTCTTCTGCTTTGGTTTTTCCATGCCTGGAAGATGTTGGCAACACATCAGTAGGAAATTCTCTGTTGACTGACTGGAACCATTGATTGTGCGTTGTTTTTAATGTCAAGTTAGTGACTTACAAGGCCAGATACTGGTTCCTTATTCAACTCAGAGTCCCTTGCTTTATCCTTGCTTTTCCTGGGCTTTTTCTTGTATAAGCTTGTGTATTATTCGTGGTTCTCTAGAGAAACAGAACCCATAGGATGTGTACAGAGTAGGTTTTGCTTTCTGTGGTTTCAGTTACTTGTAGTCAACCATGGTCCAAAAATATTAAGTGCAAAATTCCAGAAATAAACAATTCATGGGTTTTAATTTTTGCCCTCACTGTTGGAGTAGCGTGATAAAATCCGTTCTGCCCAAGAGGTGAATCATCCCATTGTCTAGTGTATCCCTGCTGTGTATGCTACCCAGCCATTAGTCACTTAATAGCCAACTCTGTTATCAGGTCAACCGTCATGTACAGCGTAGGTAGGGTTTGGTACTATCTGTGGTTTCAGACACCCTCTGGGGGTCTTGGAATGTCCCCCACAGATAAGTGAGGACTATTGCATAGGTATAGGTATAGATATAGGTAGATAGGTTTTTTTGTTTGTTTGTTTGTTTGTTTTAGAGGAATTGGCTCGTGTGATTATGTGGGCTGGCAAGTCTGAATTCTGCAGGGTACACCGGCAGACTGGAGATTCAGGGAGTGTTGATATTGCAGCTTTAGTCCTAAGGCGTTCTGGAGGCTGAATATCTTCTTCTGGAGGACCTCAGTCTTTTTCTTAAAAGGCCTTCAACTGATTGGATGATATCCCCCTATCTTGTAGAGGGTAATCTGCTTTATCCAGTCTACTTATTTAAATGTTGATCACATCTCAAAAATACCTAAACAGCTACATCTAGAATGGTGTTTGACCAAACATCTGGATGCCATAACCTAGCCAAGTTGACATAAAATTATCATAACCCTTGAGAGAATTACTCTCATTAGTCATTCGAGCTTTCTTTTTCTTTGTCAACTATATCCTACTTTTAGAAGTGTTTTAATGGCATACTACTACATTATTATATTTTGGCAAATTAAAGAGATTGATTTTCTTTAAAATCAATCTGAATTGACTTTAAAAACAGTCAATTCAGTATGTTAAAATTTGGGTTTTACTGTTATGAAATAATCATACCTATTATATAGTAATTTCTAGAAAAACTGAAGTAAAAGCTTTGTGCTAGACCTATGGATTTTGACCTATTTTATTTGTGAAAGTGAGCTATTTATTCTTTTGTTTAGGCATGTTGAACAGACATCTCAAATTTTAGAAGATTAGCAAAGGAGCTAAGCACATTCTGTACTCAGGGTTTTTCTTTAGTAAGTTTAGATGCTATTGTCTTACGGTACTTCTTGTTAAACTATTTTGTTAACATTGACAGGTACTTTGAAGTAGAAATGTTATCTAGCTGACTAGTGGTGCTGCCACCTGCTTAATGCTTTCTTTGAGACAAGTAGATTTTAAGGTATTTGCCCAGCAGAGTACAAGAGAATTGAACCAAAAGTTAGCTTGTATGGATTTTAATCCCAATTTCATCATTTAACTGGGTATAACACTCAAGCAGGTCATCTCTCCAGTGACTTCATTTCTTCATACGAATACATTATTACTGTAACTTCCTTATAGGATAGTCATTGTAAGGATTAAATAAGATGTGGAAACAGTAGAAAGCCCCATATAAATGTGATATGATATTACTACCTTTGGGTATCCTACATTTATGAAGCAAATAACAAACAGATTGAGTATCCCTAATCCAAAAATCCAAATGAAATGTTCCAAAATCCAAAACTTTTTGAGCACTTATATGATGCTCAAATAAAATGCGCGTTAGAGCATTCTGAAGTTTTGTATTAGGGATACTTGACCAGTAAGTATTTATGCAAATATTCCAAAATCTAAAAAACTGGAAATACTTCTGGTCCCAAGCATTTCAGATAAGGGATAATCA